AATCTGAAATAGGCTCCAGACTCTGAGCTGTCAGCACAGAGACCAACGCGGGACTCAAGCCCACAAACCACAAGATCATCACCTGAACCCAAGTTGGACACTTAACCAAATGAGCCACCCAGGTTCCCTAGTGAGTTTAGAAACCCTTTTAACCATAGTGTTGTTTTGCTTCCTTTTGACTCCTAAATTTGATTTTATTTTTAAAAGGCCTGAAAAGAGAGTAAGCTGCGAGCTATATTTGTGCCTGTGATCTCATCAATGTGGGGGTGAACATGACTTGTGAGGATACAAGTATACAAGTTTACAAATGTGGGGTATTGAAGACAGCACTCATCTCTGAGTCAGGCCTAGATTAAAAATCTCAGTTCTAACACGTACTGCTGGGTAACCTTGTTTAATCTGTTTTAGTCTTAGTCAACTCCTCTATAACCCTAGTCTTCATGTTAAAATAAGAAAATGCCTTCTAGAAATTTTTGTGAGGGTTAAATTAGGTAACATGTAAAGTGGCTGGACGGCTGTATTGTGTGACACATTTCTTTATAAAAGTCTCGTGCATGTGTAAAGTGCTCCATTAGGCATATTCTGTTTATAGTTGCAAAGACTTGCACTCCCTCTGTGACCGTGGTTAAGATCATTCCCAGCAGTCATAAAACAGGTGATAGCAAAGCTAGCCGGTGCCAGGAGGTCAGAGTCCATAATCTTGACCTTCTTAGCCTTTGGAGTCTGGGAACTAACCGTGAAGGTATTCATTCAGCAGGTAAGCCTGGGGCACCTGGGTGGCTCGATTGGTTAAGCATCCGACTCTTGAGTTTGGCTCAGGTCATGATCTTGCATGCAGTTCGTGAGTTCAAGCTCCATGTCGGGCCCTGCACCGACAGCCCGGAGACTACTTGGGATTCTTTCTCTCTGCCACTCCGTGGGCTCTCTCACTCTCTTTTGCTCTTAAATAAACATGGAAAGAAAAAAAAAAAAAAAAAAAAGAAGGTGAGCCTGAAGAGCCTGCCTTACACTGTACATTTTTCAACGTGCTTGGCATCCGGTATGCAAACTCAGGCATCCACAGATGGCCAGAGCTCAAGATGAAGGCAGTGCCATCAGAGGGACAGAGTTTTTGGGTGGTTCAAAAGAGGGACGGATTAGGCCTAAGCTGGAGAACCAGGAAAGCCTTAGTGGAGGCAGAGCCTGAGAAGACTGGTAAGAGGTTGATGGGGAGAGACGTGAAGGGAGAACCTTCCAGATGAAGGGAGCAGCACGAGCAAAGGCTTGGGGGATGGGGGGTGGAAAGCATGGAATGTGCACTAGAAGATTGAATGTGGCCAGAGATGAGGGACGTCGTGGGAGACAAGTAGGGGAGTTGCTTGTTCCTGTGCTGTAGTGAGACAGGAAAGTCAGGCTGAGCGTGTACCTACTTTGATAGCCGGTGACTGTCTCAGGGGTTTTGAGCTGGGGTGGAGGGGAGGTAAAATCACAGGTGCTCGAATGCAAGGTAGCCGGTTGTTGGGTGATGGGTCAGGTACATCGGTCAGAGGAAAGAGGCTGATGCTCGCTTGAGACCCGGGAGTTCGGGCGCTTGCTGGTAGAGCAGGCCGGGTGACGGTGAAGCCCGGCAGGGGTTGGAGCCGAAGTGAGCGAGTCCTTCTGTGAGCGAGGTCACAGGCATGGAAGGTGAGGAAGCTGTGCTGAAGGGCCCAGTGGGGATCCTAGGAGGCCCGAGAGCCTTGTGCCGAAGCCCTGAGGGGGAGAGGGCGGGAGGGTCCTGGACATCCGTACATTCCTGCCAGAGGACAAGGTGATGGGGGCCTGGGCGGCCATCCTGAACTCCAGCAGTGGAGACGCCTGAATACCTGGCCTGGAACAGGAGGGTGCAGCTTCTTCCGGTGGGCATCAGTGGCATCGCACAGCAGGAGGAGGGATGGGGAGACGCCACTGTTGGCGGTGACCCCCTCGGACCAGTGTCCTGTGAGGGTCGGGGTGCTGGAGATGGGGGTCACCTTGACAGCTGAGGCTGACATGATCTAGAGGAGCCAGGATGGCGCCCTGAGGTCCGGATCCGCTGTGTAGACAGTCGTGTTTCACGTAATACCTTCACACACAGCTTTGTTATGGAAGGTCCGCCCGGTGCACTTGGCCTGAACACCAGGGATGGGGAGAGTATCAGGTCCTTTCAAAACTGTATGTTCAAGGGGGTGCTGGGCAGCTCAGTCGGTTGTGTCCGGCTCTTCACTTCAGCTCAGGTCATGATCTCACAGTTCACGAGTTCGAGCCCCACATCGGGCTCTGTGCTAGCTGAACGGAGCCTGCTTGGGATTCTCTCTCCCTCGCTCTCTGCCCCTCCCCTGCTTGTGCTCCCCCCACCCCCTCTAGATAAATAAATAAAAATAAACAAACCAAAAAGAAAAATGTATGTGCTAGAACCCGAGGTGCTTGTTGTATGCAGTGCTCAGTAAA